CCCCAAAACCCCAAAACCCCAAAACCCCTTTTCATATATATTAGATTGAAAATTGGGCGATCTCCAACCAAACTTTTAATTTATTTAAATTTAGTATGTCTCCTAAAGGGTGAAGGGGGTTCTATGGAAATATTCTTCTCTTTTTCCAGTTTCAGCTTCTATTATTTTCTTATGAGTTTTCTTCTTCCTTGTACGGTTCTAAATAGGCATGTAAGTAAGGTTTTGATATGAAAACGTCACAATATATAGGGGTAATCAAATGCAAATTTAATTATCTAACAGAGGCAATGCTACTCTTCCAATGTTAAAAAATATACCTGAGCTTTTAGGGCATAAGTTTTTGTATCAAAAGGGCCATCAGGGTTGATAAGAGTCCCCTTCTTGCCTGCATCTCTCACAACCATCTTGTGAAGTTCTTTTTTGGAAAATTCAAAAGTATCTGGCATGCTAACTTGGTTAATCACATGGTTGGGATTTCCTTCGATCAAAGTGGTTTTCTTGTTCTTTCTATTCTTCTCCTTGTTAATTAGTTTTTGATGGTATCCATACTCTTCTGAAGTTGGATCAACAGTTGGATTCTAAACTTTAATCAACAAAGGCTACTAGAAAATGGACTATTAAAGATTTTTTAGTTTTTAAGAAATTGATAAATAAAAGTTGTGATTAGCATCTGGGTACATTATTAGAGTAAGCTAAGTTCTGATAAATCTTAGGGAACTTTAGTTTTAGACAAAATTTAGCAAATATGAGTTGAAATAGTTGAAATAAGATATGCAAGCTTCTAAATATATACCTCATCTTTCTCGTCCTGTACAGTCTGAGCCTTATATTTTTGATATCCTTCATGAGTCCCTTTGGAAATTGGTAATTTTTCTTCTTCACCACTTAATTCTCCTTTCTTTGTTCTATTCTTTTTCTTTCTTTGACTCTTCTTGTCGATAACTTCGTAGTGAGAGTTATCAGTGTAAACTTTAATCTTAGTTGTTTTATCATTGTTATCAACTTTTTGAACAACTTTAATATCATCTGATTCTCGTCCAATATACCCAACATCATCTTGGACTTTTTTAAATGTGCTGTAATTTGCGATGTACTTATTAACCTCCTTTGCTGGCTTCTTAGCAACCTTCTTGTTGGTCTTGTACTTAGACTCTCTTTTTACCATTGTTTTTATTAATTAACTTTGATAATCTTAATAAAATTCTGATTTTATTCATTCAATCCAGCCAATTAAAGACGGGGTTTTGGGGTTTTGGGGTTTTGGGGTTTTGGGGTTTTGGGGTTTTGGGG